CAGAAAAGGTGGGGGGGGGGGAAAAAAAAAACCACCTGAGAGGGGCTTCTTGAAAAAAAAAAAAAAAAAAAAAAAACTTCCATACAAAGACGTTTCTCAGTGATTTCAGTGTGGCTCTTGGACTGAAACTAATGCCACACTTAGTAACGTCAAAACATTAGGACTCTAAGTGACGCAGTGGAAAAACTGTCACACATCACAGCAGATCTCTGGCCTCAACCCTTGACTGTCTGGCTGAAGCATGAGAGCGGACAGCGTCCTATTTGCTGCTTTAGCGCCTCCTACTGGCTGCTCTCACGCAGTCTGTGTCTGTCATACCTGCTTCTGAGGCGCACAATTACAGAAAATGTACAAGAATTAGACAAGAATTAACATTTGGAAGATTGCAGTCAGTTGACTGGCTAAGCCTTCATAGCAACACCAAGTCATAATATTGACGAGTTGCAGTCAGAAAGAAAAGGGGAAATGAAATCAGGATAATAAAATAAGCACAACAAAGGAAATATGTATTTAAAGGCCACATATGAGTGTCATAAATGAGAACATTACCATTAACTGACAACAAGTGTAGTTCTGGGCTTTTTATGACTATGTGCAGCAGATGGGGATGTTCATCAAAGGTCACCAAGCAGCAGCTCAACAGGCTGGAGTCAGGAGACGGTCAGCTGGGGTAAAATGTTAAAGGAAAGTCAGTAACATGAGAATATTGTCAACAGATGTATCAGAGCAGAAATGCCTTCTGCAATCCTTCTAGTGATTAAGCTAATCTAAAAGATGTGATGTTGCTTGAGGGATCTGTTTGAAGGACAGGAGGTACATTTTTGATAAACACATAATAAACAATACAGTGCATTGCAAAAATTAAAGCACCTCACCTTTGTCATATTTTGTCACCTTACAAATACATGAATGTATTTTAATAGAATTTTCTATAATACACCAAAGTCTTTAGAGCAAAGCACGTAGAAATTTAAAAGGTGGTGGTGTGAATTGGTAATTAGATCCCCGTACTCCAAAAAAACTTTAAATAAAAGTCAATCAACTACTGTAATTACAGTAATTTAACCACAGTGTAATCCAGTTGTTTTGCAAAAAGCTCAAAGGATTGTTAGTGAACAAACAGCGTCACAGCAAGTCCTGGAGCAGAGCCAGGGTGTTTTTAAAACCAAACGAGATCTGGGTGAGGGGTAAATTTTTTCCAAGTCTTTATAACTTTTTCCTTCCACGTAACTTTCTATGAATGTGCTTGAATGCAACACTCTGAACAACCAGCTTCTTTAGACCTTTTATCACTTTCTCTCCATATGGAGGATATCACTGACCGTCTTCTAGCCATCTGTCAGGTCAGCAGTCCTCCCTGTGATTCTATAGGCCACAATATGGCCCTTATATAACATTAAAAAGTTAAACAAGCTTTTTAAAAAAAATAAACAATACTGTATGTTATATCAAATTCGGATATATTTTTGCACTGGAAAGAAAATAGGTTTTTCCAGTGCCCAGCAAAGTGTAATAAACTGGTCACTCTTTTGTTTATTTAGGTAAAATTGAAAATACCTTTTCCTGACATGGCAGGTACTGAATGATGGCATCAGTGAAACCATAAAGGCTGCTTTGGAGACTTGTTGGCCATTTGGAGTTGTTTTTATTTCCTTTATTAGTTTTTGTATGCATGGTGCTAAAATAAGTTTGGGTCTTCGTCTACAATCGTTTACACTCGCCTATCTGCACTCCAAGCCGCAGATAAGATCCAGTTTAGCTGAACAGTTGATTATTTTTTTGCGGGGTTGGGGGGGTTGTGGACATTTGGGACTAGATCACATTTAACAGTGAGTCTGGGGTGCTTTTCCACAAATCCACCCCGTGTTTGACCTTCCTGCTGGTGTGCATGTTGTTAGAAATGTCATACTTAGTATCAGCTCAGAAAAACTTGCTGTTCCAGTTAAAGGCCAAACTCAGTCTGTTTATTTTTGTGATAGTGGGGCAAAAAAGGGGTTTCCCGGAGGTGACTCTGTGACATTATGAGGTTACGTTCCTGCATGTAGTCTTCTGTGAATGCAGCAGTAACGCAGGAAAGAACAATCGTATTGCAGAGCTGCTGCACAGAGGCGTGTTCACAAAATGGTTGCTGAATTTCCTCAAACCCTAAACTGTTCCTCTCCACTTTTGTTCAGTCACGAAACTGCCACGTTTTTGGAGAGATTAAAGATTAAAATACGGGTTTTGCGTATTTTGTTGGCTGGTAAACGTGATGAGGTTTCACCGTCTACATCACAGGTGAAACTGATGCGATGCAGATGGAGCTCGAGAGAGCCCTCATGTGGCTGATGTAGGTCATGACAATTCACAGCAAACCTTCAGATCTCAAGGGTTAATCATTCTCTGATAGTAAAACATTAAACAAAAACTCTTTATGAGTTCTTTTATCTGCTTGTATATTTTTTTTATTTCCTCATAAATTATATATTCAGGTTGTGGAGTTACGACCCGATTCAATTTTGGTTTTAAGTTTTGATCAAGGAATCACTTTACAAGAGTTAATGCAAAATCTGATAACAGCCATCAAATACTATTGCTTGGGGAAAGAGACCGAATTTTCTTACTCTTACATTATATTCAATGATTTGTTTTTCTCCTTCAGTGTAGAGGTGGGGAAATTTTGAAGTCAACCTTTAATTTGAAACAAACATTTTCAAAGACATTCAAACAAGTCCTGTAAAGATTTGAGTAAATATGCTGATTTATTCTATGCGTTTGTTCATCCATTATAACATACAGATAGTTCAGTTGTTTTTTTCATGTTTTTGCACCCAAAGACACTTTGATTCTAGGTGCCTGCAGTACCAACGTCAAAAAGTTAAATAAATATATTAGGTTTTAGAATCAAAGTTGCTTCAAAGGGAGGTGATGCTGGACTGTAAGCATGCCATGTCACAACTTTTTCCAAATATTGAAAGGAAATTCACTTCACACTGAGTAAATAAAATAAAATTTGTTATTTGGCAACGCTTAGGAGGCAGGCTTTTCTGTTGAGATTACAAAGTTTTCATTTCCTATGTGTTGACAGAAGGGAATGCTTAAATATTTATTGTAGTCTGTTTTAACACTGAGGGACCGTGGACATTGGGCTTCCTGTATTTACTTTTCTTTAGTTCGGGCTTTTTAAAGTCTAAAACAACAGAAGCTCTAACTGATTATTCCCTGCCGTCTGAAACACGATCTTTCTGCGAACCCAGCATGCACGAGCCGTTACGATTTGCACACGTGTTGACAGATTTAGCTGGTCATGCACCAGAGGCCTCGAAACGGGACAGACCACGTCCCACTGGGAAGGCTGCGGGCCGCACTTCCAATTAGTGGAAGACACATCGAACATGAGGAAAATGGTTTATTATCTCTGTGTTTTACAACGAGGCAGCCATCGTGATCGGGCCCTGCATGCCTAACTGTTTAATGAGGCCAATTAAAGATGAATCGACACCGCCTCCGAGTGCTGCAGAGTCATTACAGCGTACGACAGATAGACTGGGTGAAAGCAAATTAATCCAGTAATGAGGAACTCTCTGACTAAAAGAGAAGAGACAGGGAACAAGCAGAGGGCCTTATTAGTGTCTCTGCCAATTTGCTTCTCTGACAAAACGGTTCATTCTGGTGGCGACTGCAACTCATTCACGCTGCGCTGCACACAATAAACCTGGACCTTTTTTTTTGTTTGTTTTTAATCATTATTAAAATCAAATTACCCAGTCATGCGAGATATCATGATTTTTCCAATCAGGAGCAGAAAACACAAGGTTGGATTCGTCTTTATTGGAATATTTTAATTCAGTAACATGACAACAAGCCATAAGAGAGCAAATATCCCATCATACAGACACAATCTGCCGATCACTTTCGATCCCTTAAACACAACAAGGCTCCTTTCTACACACACAAACCAGCACCAGACTCACTGTACATATTTAAGGCACACACACAGAGTATTTGCATGCAACACACACACACACAGACACACACATGTGCAAGTGCGTAAGATAGCAGTAATGCCGGAAAACTCGATGTGCAACAGGAGCCGCAGCATTAGCTCACAGACAAATTATTCTGTATGTTTTGTTTTTTTTTACTTGTGATTGCTTTTAGCATTTAGAGTGATCTTATCGAATATAGTTCAAACTTTTGCCTAAAAATCACTTGTTAGCAACACAACACAATGAGCAGGTCACAGGAGGTCAGTTACATGTGGGTCAGGAACAAACAAATCAACACTGAAGAAATCTGACTGGGAAAAAAAAAACCAAAGAGAAAGACAAATATTTGTGTGTATTAGTAAAATATGTTGAAAATATGTTATCAACGGCCCATGCCTTGGGCCGGATACCAACGTCTAGGTGCACTAGGATTTTAAAAACCTATCCAAACGACTAATTCCATCCAACCAATCCTGTGGTTGAAAGTCTTTCTAAAGAGGCTCCAGAGAATGTGCTTTATGGACTATATTGTGGTACAAGCTCGTCCCACTGCTGGTCAGCTGGCTGAAAGACTTAGTCAACCATTAGGATAAAGAAAAACTAATTTGGGAAACATTTGCACTAAGAGAACGCTGAGCAGCTGACTGGAGGCTGTGGTGGAGTAGATAGCCATACTAATCACCCAATATCAGTTTATTATTCTTAATTTACTCTTCAAAGTGCAGAGAAGTGAAAAGATGTAGTATTCTGAAAAACACAAAATTTAGTAGGTAGTCTGCATTTTTATGCATCAGAACAACAAAAACGTAGTATAGTTGTAATAATTGGTCATTTTGTGTGGACAATTATTTTCTTTCCATTTTTCTCTTCTTCTTTGTGGAACTATGAAATAGTTTCACTCAGAATTATGAAACCAGCACATGTCTATATGTCAAACTGCACACAGGAGGAAGAAACACACAACAGGAGGGCAACAACAGTAGCAACGACTACATATATACTGTTTTTTGTTTGTTTTGTTTTTGGTAAGCAGTACATTTAGATCTGTGCCCATACTGATTTTAAACGCACTAACAAAGATGTTAACTTGCTATTTAACTTTGTGAATACGATGTAAATCACTGTGCTGGATGGGAAAGAAGATTCACATTTCACAGACTGTGTTTGGAAGACTGAATGCCATCGTGTCACTAATATGGGATACTAGGATACTAGTTGGCTGTGTGTGTTTAATTTCTAACGACCCAGTCGAGGTTCGCTTTAGCACACATGCTGCTGCGCTAGCATCCCGTCTGACCAGGAGTAAAGCAGTGAGACATTCTGATGAAAGTCCAAACGCAGCTTTTTCCCCCCAATTATTTACAGGAGCTTATAAACGCTCGTCGTCGGTATCGGTGTGATTTAGTTTTGGATTGCTAGTGCTGCGTTTGAACACTTCGTTCTCCAGAGTCAAATGATAAAACACACAACTACTGTGAGCTTTAAAAGGCAAAAAAAAAAAAAAAAAAAAGAAAAATTGGTGCTTTTGCTTTAATTTTATGCGGATTGTCTCCTTTTAACACATATACCACAGTTTCAAATATATACATACGTTTTATATTGCAACTGTACGGGTTAGTGATGTTTTTGATCCGTTTTTAGACACCAAGAAATTTACAACAGAACGTAAACCTGAAAGAAGGTCTGCAGCTTTCCAAGTGACTGGATAGGCTTTACTTTGGATCGCTCAGTTTGCTCATCAAAACAGTCAAAAGTGAGGCAATGAAAAATTAAAAGATATTTTTTCTTCATTTTTCCAAATTTAGATTTACATTCAGAACTACGGCTCAATGTCAGACATTGTAAAGTGGTTTTATTCCATCTGTGGCTGCAGTGAATTGAACTTACAGCTTCCTAGTGCAATCGGTGTCTATGTCGGGCATGGCGTCTTCCTGCTCTAGATCCCCCTTCTCCTACTCTGTCAGACATTTCAGCCCTTAAACCAGCGATCCCCTTCTCTCCTCGGGCGTCTCCTCCAGAATCTGAAGCAGCAGGTCGCTGAGAGGCTTGGCCAGGGTGTTGTAGCCTGCTGGCGTCAGGTGGAGGTAGTCAAACATGTCCTGGGAGCTGATGGTCCCGTCGGAGTGGATGAATTCGTTGCTCACGTCCAAGAACAGAGCCTGGCCCAGCCGTGGCAGCCAGGAGCGCAGGAGCCTGTTGACTGCGGCGTTCTTCTCCCTCAGCGGGTTGGGCTGCTCTCCGCGGGGTAACAAACCCTCAACGGCACAAAGACATGTCAAACTTCAGAGGACTTCCATGGAGTCGCTCAAACCCGGGCATTCACAGGCATCAAATGCTGCGCTACCATTTCTCAAATCTGACATTCATTCTTACTTCTATCAAATGAATCCTATTTTTAGTCTGCATGAAGCTTGTAAGCACAGCTTGATTTTATTTTATTTTTTTTTACATTGGCAGAGGGGGTTGGAATATCCATGAAGTTGTCAGAAAGAAAAAAGTAACTCCTCCTGTAATTTAGGGTTTCACTTTCCAAGACATAATAAAACCACTGAGTTTTTAATCCAGCATCTAAATGCATTTCCATCCCATGTGTACAAAAAACACACAACAGGTTCCACACAGTCACGACTTGAGGCGCTTCAGTCAAATGTATTTGATTAACTGATCATCATCAAGTGTGACCACGTCTACAGAAGCAGGAATGCTGTGAAATAATGGACTTTGTGTAAAGATAAGGGCAACAATCCGAAAACACTGCAGCAAATCTACACCAGAATGTTTTACTGCCACAGATGAGTCCAGATCTCAATCTGACTGAAATAATGTGTTTGGACCTTTGGAGATTAGAGCAGAAATTGGTGTCTGTAGTTTTCAGTGAACTGAAAATGGATCCAAAAATGTCTTCTTCAACAATTAGACGGCCTGATAGAGTGGTACAGAAAACGACTGCTGACGGTTATTGCTGCTGACGGGGGATGTAGAAGCAACAAATCGTTGGGTATGCTTAGATTTTCATGCTTGAATTTACCCTATTAGCTAGATATGAAGGACTAGTCATCAAATTTGTTGTGTAATTTTTATTTTATTTTTTTACACTTGGGATTAGATTTAAATAATTTGAACATCTGGTATAAGCCAGATTATTTTTATTCTATTCTGAGCAAGAAACATGTCGGCAAAGACACAGGGATCCTTGTTAACGTTTAATCATTTTTCTCTCCTAAGTTTTTAAGATACAAATTCTGTTTACAGTGTTTTTTTTTGTTGTTGTTGTTTTTTGAATGAACGTTCAAGTACCATTGGCCCTCTGCTAACCAGAGGTTCAGTGGTGACTGATTAACTGGGGTGGTTGTGAAGGTTAAATCAATGTTTAGGTGTTTTAAAGCAAATTTGTTTTAGAAGTGAAGAAAGAACGCATCGCTTTTCTGTTTCCTTGTTACAGTTCAGCACATCGAAAAAAATATACTGATCAAACTTTGTGGAGATTTTGTCTTTGTTCTTTTGGAAGCAATAGAAGTATGAACATTTTTTTTTTAAATTATAGTCATTTCCATGAACATACTAAGAGTTGTGTGCCATTTCATCAAGAGCGGAGACTTAGGAATAAATCACTCCAGTTAGCTAGCCCATCAAAAGCAGTAACAAGTTTATATATAAACTAAGAGCATCAACACTGATTTATAAACTCACCAGGACAACAATCTTAGCTTTGGGGAGGCGGTTAGTGAGTAGTTGTGCGATGGCAACAATTCCTCCTGCAACCTGCTCTGCTGTGTGGTCGTGATTGTTGGTTCCCACCCACAAAACCACCACCTTAGCAAGAGCACAGAGAGTCCGTTTATTACTTTTCACAAAAGAAATCAGGCAGAACAACTGAAAACAGTCTCTCCAGGGGGTTTCCTGAATACCAGTATATAAGCAAAATGAGCTTCAGTTTTGCTTTCCCACCTTTGGGCGGATGTTCTGCAGCTCGCCGTTCTGCAGCCTCCACAGCACATTGCAGGTGGTGTCACCGGCTAGACCAAAATTAAGTGCATGAAGAGGAGAGAACATCTCCTTCCAGATCTACGGAGCAAAAGAAATCTCAATTTTACACGAAATCACTGCAAGAAAATAAAAATAAAACAGGAACATGTCTGCGAGTCATTTTATCACATTGGTAGCACAAACAGCCTCTGCACAACATGCTGCTTCCTATTAATTTAACGAAACATAAGTAGCTTAACTTTATTGCAGCAATCATATATGACAGCACAGTGTGATTATAAAACATAAATTGCATGAAGGAAAGCACTTTTGAACTATTCTTACCACAGATGCAAATTTTGGAAACATGTTAACTTGGTAGAATGGTAAAGTAAGTCAAATATCCAATGAAAACAATGCACACAGTTTGCCTCACCTCATACTGCTCCATTAGTTGCACCATTGAGTCCCCTACAAAAAGAACCTCTGGTTCGCCATCTTTGCACTCCTGCACAAATCTTGTATGCTGACCACACACACATGCACACACACATAAAGGTTGGTTACTGCTGGCATAGATGTAACAGACCACATCCACCTTCTTCATGTTATCAACAATGCTTTTCAAAAGCCTTCATATCGCTTCTATACCTTGAAACTGTCTAAGTTTATTTCTTAACTCCCTTTACTCTGACACCTCTAAATAAAAAAATAGCAAGCAGGCTGGAAGCAAGTACTTGCTTTCAGTATTTAATTTTAGCATAAAGTATTTCCCCGGTGTTCACAGGTTTTAGGGACAGCAGGGGCTCCCGAATAGCTTTAATCCATGAATACTTCAGACCCTTTCTAAAAACACTTACACCGACTATTTTAATAATTCACACATCATATAGACCTTAACATGCATTGATTTGCACAGTGGAAATCTTCTTGGCATTAGTGCAGAAGCTAAGATATGTGGTTTTCCTCGTCTTAGCTTTTGGATTTACAACCAGTCAATGGCAAGAAAACTGAATGCCGCGCCTGGTTGCTTTGCGAACCAATCCAGCATTGGCCATGAACACCAAGGAACACACAAAGTTGTGAAGAAGTTTAGATTATGAAATGGCATCAAAATCTGTTCACACAAAAATGTAAAGTGTTTCCCAAAACTGCTTGTATACACTGTTCTACCCGGATACTGTGATGAAGGAAAAAATGGGTGAATCGTAACGGATATACCTTTCGCAGTATTCACTGTATATAGTGTAGCAATTACACGACACTGTTCAGTTTTCTTGGCATTATGCAGGCCTGCCTTTATGGAAGAAAGATGTTAAGTTTGACACAAGTTATGTAGGAGACACAGCAAACATGGAAAATGATGTTCTGCTTAGATAAAGTGGAAAAAAAAAACACATCGGTGGCAGAAAACTAACAATGCAAAAATACAGTATAAGTGGTACAAATAATTTTGGGAAATTCACTATAACTGAAGTTGAGGATAAACATCCTGTGACATCATTTTTGAGCAGCAGGGAGATGAGAGTGATCTATTCGAGTTAGGCCAAATCCTACAAGCTGATCACAGCCAGGACCCGTCAGGTTGGCCGTCTGATTGAGGGCTTGAAGCAAAGCAGGTTGTCTTAGTTGTACAAGCTTCAGAGGATTAACCTCGCAAAGACCTGCCAGAAAGGCGCCACTAAACAAGCTGGATTGACTGTTGCACTGAAAACACACAGGTCTTAACAGTGGAAAAGCAGACTCATCAGGATTTACAGGATCAGAGGACAGATTAATTGCCATCTTATGATAATTTGAACATAAACACATGAACAAGTTTAACACCACGCCTTAAAGCATTTAGCACACAATTATGAGTGCAGAACATACCTGTGACATCCACCGTCCATCACCCTGCCGATCCTCAACTGGCTGAGGCACTGCAGCTGGGTTCAGTTCATCACCACTCATCATGCAGGAGGAGACCCCGCCGCAGGTTAATAGGTTAAACTCTATACCAGTCCGTGGTTAACGCTGGAAGACAAGATTGTGGGTTCAATTTGATTAAATAGCTCTAGTAAACATTAGTATGATGCAGCTCTCAGCAGCGGAGCAGACAGACTAGCATAATAAGACGGATGTAGGCCACTTTCCCTCGGATGAAGGCGGGTATTTAGAGATCACACAGTAGATCGCATTAACTCTGTTGGGTTACAGTTTATCTGACGTTAGCGTGTTAGCTGCTACGAAGCTAATTACACACGACAGCGTGACGGACACGCCATTAAACAGAACACGTCAAAAATCATGGTAAAATGTATGCGAAACACCACCTGACGCTGACAGGGTGTGATACCTCTCCTGTCAGACCCGTGGTTCTTCAGCCACGGCTTAGCTCGAGCTCTGTGCTGTTGTTACCGGTTAGAGAGGTTATTTAGTGATTAAACTGACAAACAGTAGGTGTGTCAATAAGGTAAACTCTGCCGTGGCAGGAGAACTCCGGCGGTGTAGTGTCGAGTCTGGTTTCCCTTTGAGATGCCTCCTTGCCGTTTGCGCTTCTATACACTATTTTACGGCCGCTTTTAACCCCCCCGCCCCCGCACTCACAAAAGTTTATATTGGCGCTTTCCAAGCATTATTTATTTATTTATTTATTTATTTGAAAGCTAAACAAGGCACGTGATACGAATATTATGCATATTTACATTTTTGTAAAGCTAAGCATTAACATTTAAAGATAAATATTTCCTTTAAAAATAAATAGATCTTTAAAAAACAAACAAAAAACGACATTTATCCATAAAGAATTTGGTCAAAAGAATATAATTATTATTTCGTCAACACCTGTTAGTAAAAATAAAAAAATAAAAGATCACTACTCGAGTTCACATCCCGTTGCCGTAAAACACATTATAGAAGCGCATGGCTTTAGCTGGTAGAAAACATCTTTACGGGGGAACTCGGCTCCTCTCTGCACCTGCAACGGTCTAAAAAAACAACATAGAGCTGATATAATTATTCCCCGAGCAGAGCTTTACAGGAAACCACATCAGCAGGTCAAAGTCTTTTCATCGCAATAAGCGAATATATAGATGGTAGCCTAGCAACCATACATTTACCTTGCAGTAATCGTCGAGGTTTGAGACCGCGTCGCATTCGCCTGAAAGGCAAGAAAAAGGGAATAAATCACTACAGTTAGCTAGCCCAGCCCAGGAAAATCCGCGAGGGCTAACATTGTTAGGATTTATCCACACATCACGCTAGTTTTTAGCTGACGCCAAACAGCGTGTTTGGTTTAGTCATGAAATCCTAAAAGTATTTCCTGCCATCTCACCTCAGCTCAACGGGCGCATTCATTAACGTCAGCCGGCGGATCACCAGGGAACAGACGGTGTGGGAGGAGATTACCTCTGTAACCGAGACTAAACCTTTTACCCGGCGGAGCGAGGGCATAGATAGATAGACGATATGTCATAGTGACTTGGTCATGTTATCAACCGCTGTAACATTAGTCCAATGTAAATTTGGACTAATAAAAATTAAGCACTGCGAGTATTTCACGCACACGAAATATTTCTATTGATCAGTTGTGTAATTTTATCGACTTTATTTTTATTTTTTAAGTAACTCTGTTTATACCAGTCAGATGATGGAAGTGGGTGCCCGCCTCTCTAGTCGGTACACTTCAGGATCTCCTTGGAAGCATGCAAACATCGCCCACCCCGTACATCCATTCCCTCAGCAGGTGATAAATGGGGCGCACCCACAGTCAGAGCCGATTAATGACGTCAAGAAATTGTGCATTTTTAGTTTCAGTTCATAAAAACCTAACGTTTTTATAAAGAGCATGGGAGGGTAACACCAGCGACGGGTAACACTATTGATACTAATGATATTCCTATTCCTCCCTCTCATTCTTCCACTACTATTACAAATACTACTACTACTACTACTACTATAATAATAATAATAATAATAATAATAATAATAATAATAATAATAATAATAATAATAATAACAATAATAATAATAATCAAATGAGAACTAGTTGTTAAGATCTGTTTTTGTTTGAGTGGCATGTTTTCCTTCATAAGTTTTTTAATTAGTTTATTTTCCAATTAAAGGCCATTGTGAAGTTCATTAGCTTCCATAAACATAACACACAACCTTTACATCTAATAATGTAAAAGTTGTGGGAGTTGTTTCAAGAAACTCACATGTATTCCAACACATGATTTTTTTTTTTTTTTTTTGATGATTTTGGGTTCTTACTTACAGCACCTAAAATATAAAATATTCTATTACAATATTGTATCTACTTGTTTATATAAAATGCAATATGAAATTTAAATTACATATATGTTTTAGATTACAGAAAAACTCACAAAATCACTATAATAAGACTTAATATAAACAGCTAAACACACAAGTTAAATCATTCCCATCAATCATTATTAAAATAAATATGTATCAGTATATTTGACCATAATATACTGTATATGTATAAAACAATATCAGTTGCATTAATGTAGCAAAAAACCAATAAAGTAACAAATAAATTGTTGGGGGAAGGAACTGAATCAGCATGGCAAACACATTTAATGGTGCAGAGCTCATGTTTAATTTGATGTTTAAAAAACAGATAAAAAAAAAGATGTTTCTTTAAATTCCCAAATTTCTGCTCTCCATCAGAAAATCCCAAAGGAGAATTTTTCCTCATCAGTCCATGACATTAAGCTCAAGAAAACCATCAGCATCAATGTGTGACCTCTCACCAGAATGTGTCCAGGAGCAGTTCTTCATTAACTCCACAAGGTGGCACTGCTGGGACTTAAACAACCATTAGGTGGTAAAGGCCATAGACATAATATAAGGATAGACGC